GAGGCCTTCTATGCGTGAGGTATGTGAAACGTCGGTAGACTTTGGCCTGTAGGGAGCTCCTTCTGCTACCGCCGCTTAGCCGCAAAACTCGGCCCTCAGCAAAAAGTCGTCGCAGTAGGTCGTTTTCGCCCCTCCCGAAGCTCGGAATCCGTTTCTCTCGCCAGACCCGTATTTGTCGCAACTCCGTTTATTGTGACCGGTAGACCAGGCGAAATTCGCGGGTCTAGACGCTGCGATAAACCGTTGTCCCGTCGGTGTACTGCCCTGTCTGCGGCGTAACTTCCCTTGATCAGGGGGAACCTGTGCCGCATGAAGTACAGTGTCGGCTGCTGCTGTTGCTCCGAAAATTTCGGCCGGCCTTGTTGCAGGCGCATAAGTGACCCTAACGTAGACAGTCTAGTTGTAGGCGGCCTTTTCCGAACTTTTCGGCGGTTCGAAAAAAACTTCCGTCCCACACTGTGCCGCACCTGCCGAAAACGCCAAAGACGCACCCTCCTGCAGCCACACCGGCCACACCCGGGCGGAACGACGGTAGACCCCCGCTTTCTTCGGGCAGTCGTCACGCCGTCTCTCCTCGCCGTTTGCATTTTCCGATGCAAATCACCATGCGCCTGGCCTGTCCGGCCAGCTGTCGTTTCTGCCGTGAAGCCACCCGAAATCTTCGAGCACAGTAACGATGCTCACAACGTGCCGAAGACCTCCGTGTTTCTCGTGCGCAACTTGACGAAAACGCCTGACGCCACTTGCCGCACGCATTAACTCCGATTTCTTCGTGCGCAGTTGACGACCACGTGAAAACTTCAACTCGCCAACCAGCTGCTCCGAGAATCTCGCGCATGCAGTGACGACAACCGTCCTGACGCCAACTGCCGCATAAAAACAGCGTCGAGATTAACGGAAACGACGAAATTAACTCACGCAATTAAATGCGACAACAGCAAAAGCTGTCCGCCACCCGGGGGGGGGGAGGCCACGGTCCATCTCGACCGTCGAGGGCAAGGATCCGTCGGTGCAGCAGGAGCGCCCGTAAAAACATGGCCGCTAGGAGCAACTATCTGTTCTCCTGGCCGGCTACTGCGCTGCTCCTGTCACCACGGCATCCTTCCCTGTCCCCCCCCCGAGGGGTAATACACTCTAAAAAATGGGGAACCTAGGAACTTAGGCTCTGATACCAAGTGTTATGAGTTGTACTAAGAAGAGTGCGCGGAAGACTTTATAAAAAGGATGAGAACTATAGAATGATGAGAATGATAAAGAAGGAAGCATTTATAGGGTCAAAAGCGTGGTAGGCGAGGACCTCAGGACGTGGATGGGTTGGAAGTGTCGCGATTGGTGCGGGGCGACTCGGAAGTGGTTCGGGCCGAAGTGTAGGCCGAACCCAAACTGACGCGAATAGTTCGGGCTGTCCTCGCTAGGAGTAGCCTCTACAGTAATGAATTCACATTCATTACAGATCTACTGCGAGACGAGCGTGTGTTGGGGTGGCGCACGGCAAGCGAAGAGGTGAGTGGTAACGAAGGAGGAACATTCGTGGTTCGATGAACAGTGCTGTACATGGGCTACATTTAGGCTCTCGACATTGTAGTACCTCGATTGGAATATAGCAGGCCTTAGGGCGTGTTCCTACAGCCTCCTATCAGAGCTACCTCATATCAGATAATGAAAAAGTTGCAGACAACGTTATACAACACCTCTTGTCAGCCCTGTACCGAAACTGTGCACAAATCACAACATTCGCTTGGCCTCGCATGGTCGTGCTGACTCACCTGTGCACGGTTGGAGTAGACCCGCATGCAGATGCCATTGCCTGTCTGCCGACATCCTAACCTGCGCACGAAGGTGACGCGACCTGGTCTGTGCACGTCTGGACGTGCCATAGTTGCACAATTTGTCAAACATTGGATGATTGGCGCAACGGGAAAGATCTTTGGCGCCTCTTTCACGCCACGTTTAGCCAGCAAGTTCAGAGTTTCCCGTCTCACTCACAAACAAATCCGCACAAACGAACTCAAACACCAGGATCGACACATGCGTACATAATCCACTCGACCACGCAGGTTGTGTTATGCAGGCACTAGAACTTCCTAGCATGGCTCGCAAACGCAAAAGCAATGTCGGCGCGACAGAGGAATACTTGTGGCGACCGGAAGACCTGGCCTACGTGAAGTGGATGAATGCGGAACTTGCATCAGGGAGACCTACCACGAAGCCCCTTCGTAACGTCCATGCCACCGGCTCAACGCCAGCGCAATCGACCGTCAATCCGCATCGCACTCAAGGTCCACACGTGACCGACTACGACACTGACGAGGATTTTCCGGAGAAGGACTCTGAGGACGAGGATCTGGAGCAAGGGTCGGACGGGGAACATCCCGTTGCTGCATGGCATGGGGACGTTCAGTACAACGGTCCGGCTGAGCAGACCGCGAACGCCACCCACGCTGTTCGGGACGGGGCTGATCCGAGCCCACACGCCAGGGCAAAGCGTAACGGCAAGGCTAAAGCACAGCCAGAGTCGCCTAACGAGACGTCAGTGAGCGGCATTGCGCAGAAAGGCCAACGGTTGGAGTGGTCACCCAAGGAGTCGACCGTTCTCGTGGCCGCGCGGTGGTTTACGAAGGACGAGCTGCAACAGATGACGGGCAAGCAGGGGTCGCAGTATTGGCTCCGGCTAATCGAGCGTATCAAACTGCAACACCCTGATTGGAGTCGGAACGCCTTAGCATGCACTAACCAGTGGAAGCGGTTGAAGGCGTTGTGGAAGCAAATCGACAAGGGCGACTCCGCTTCGGGTGGGGGGACGGTGATTAAGCCACCGTGGTGGGAGTGGATGGTGCTTTTTTATAAGGATACGGCAGCTGCAGAGCCTCACGCCCTTGACGGCGGCGGTGCGGTTAAGGTCAATGTTGACCCGGGTGTGAAAGTCGTCACGCCCTCGAAGACCGATGCTACGGGCACCACGGGTACGTATTGCTATCAATGTATAACTCTGCATGTTCCAACATAGATCGTGGTTGTTTTATTGATATCCAGCTCTTATTAGCATTAACATACATTACTAACATTCTTTATGACATACAATACCCTATCTATGTCCTTCGTGTCAGAAGTGCGTCGCACCCCACCTAGTGCTCGTCGTAGGGTCCACGAGACGGCAACCATGGCGGTCGCCCAGCTCTTATCCGACACTCTCAAGCAGTGCTCGGCTGATGGCGTGGCGCAGATAACTGGGGTGATTCGGGAGTGGATGGCGACGCAGCAGTCGCAGACCAGTCGCCCCCTTCACTTCTCGGGATCCCGCCACGGCGACGATGACAGCTGGCATTACAACCGTGAGGGCAGCGAGGGCAACACCAATGCTGACCTCAGTGACGGGGTTGAAGAGTGGCGTCGCGGCGACGACGCTTAAGGTAAGCGTCGTGAAGGGTCATGCCAAGCCTCTTACGCCGCTCTTTCAGCTCCGCCTGCGTACCTGTCTCACATGCACTCCAGTTGTACACAGCAAGCTCGCCCCTCGTCCACCATGGGTCGCGGTTGAGTGCAATTGCTTCCCATTTGTGGTTCGGGTTTTTCATCCGTGAACCGGCCATCGGAATCTCCATGTTGTGCAGGATTACGACACAACTGGCCCCGGCGAGTACGCGCCATAGCGCATAGTCGTGTCGGCCGGCGAAAAGGCGGTAGCGGCCTTTAAACTGACCGATGGTGCGCTCGACGGACATTCGGGTGGCGGACTGGCAGTAGTTGTATGTCTGTTCCCACTCGAGCATCAGGCGGCCAGTGGGTGCATGTAAGGGGGTGAGACAATAGTGTCAGAACTTATAGCTTACTTGTTTCTGTAGGCTATAGTGGGGTATCCCATAGGGGTACAACCCAATTAGGGTTTCCTATTTGTACTCACTTCGTTCATAGTCATTCCATCCTCGTTCTTTGTTTCCACATGGAATCAGAGCAGGTTCCCTCCTAGGGACTGCTTCTAGGGCCCACCGAACCGCGCCCCGAGGCGCGTTTTTTTTTTAGCGACCCGTCGTGTCGCCCCTAGCGGACCGTTGCGCCGCCCTTCCCCCTCGCGGCTCCGCCGCCCTTCCCTAGCGGCCCCGCCGCCCTTCGATCGCGGCCCCGCCGCCGCCCTCTGCTACGCGCCCCGCCGCCGCCCTTCGATCGCGGCCCCGCCGCCCGCCGCCCTCGGCTACGGGCCCCGCCGCCCTCTGCCTCGCGGCCCCCGCCGCCCTCTGCTACGCGGCCCCGCCGCCCTCTGCTACGCGGCCCCGCCGCCCTCTGCTACGCGCCCCCGCCGCCCTTCGATCGCGGCCCGCCGCGCCGCCGCCGCCGCCCTTTGCCACGCGGCCCCGCCGCCCTCTACTACGCGCCCCCGCCGCCCTCTGCTACGCGCCCCGCCGCCCTTCGATCGCGGCCCCCGCCGCCTCTGCTACGCGGCCTCGCCGCCCTCTGCTACACGCTGCCCCCCGCCGCCCCCTGCTACGCGGCCCCCGCCGCTCTCTTCGGTCGCGGCCCCGCCGCCCTCTGCTACGCAGCCCCGCCGCCCTCTGCTACGCGCCCCGCCGCTCTCTTCGGTCGCGGCCCCCGCCCCGCCGCCACTCTGCTACGCGCGGCCCCGCCGATCCGCCCAGCAGCAGCCGCCGCCGCCTGAGCCGCCGCCGAGCCGCCGCCGAGCCGTCGCCGAGCCGCCGCCGAGCCGCCGCCGAGCCGCCGCCGAGCCGCCGCCCGAGCCGCCGCCGAGCCGCCAGAGCCGCCGCCGAGCCGCCCGTGACGCCCGAGCCGCCCGCGCCGCCCAGCAGCAGCCGAGCCGCCGCCGAGCCGCCGCCGCCTGAGCCGCCGCCGAGCCGCCGCCGAGCCGCCGCCGAACCGCCGCCGAGCCGCCGCCCGAGCCGCCGCCGAGGCCGCCCGCGCCGCCCGAGCCGCCTGCGGAGCCGTGCTGCTGTTCCTCTGCTGCTGACCTACCCGCCTCTCCCAGCCCGGTGAGATTTTCAGCTGCTGTCATGGCCACCCCCAATGTTCTTACCTTTGACGCTGAGGGGAGGGCCATTGACTTTGCCGTCTGGATTGAAGACCTGCAGCTGTACTTACTGTGTGATGCGATAGATGAGGTCTCTCTCTTTGACTTTGTCTCTGGCGCTGTCCCTGCCCCACCTGCTGATGCTGACTCTGCCGTTCGCTCCAAGTGGGCGACCCGCGATGCTGCTGCACGTCTTGCTGTGCGTCGCCACCTCCCTTCCTCTGAGCGTGCCCACTTTAGTCAGTGCAAGACCGCTCAGGCCTTGTACGACGCTGTAGTTTGCACGCTACTCCTCCCCTTCCTCCGCTACCCTTAGCCGCCTCATGCTACCGTTTCTCTTCCCTGACCTCGCTTCCTTTCCCACTGTCGCTGACCTCGTTACCCACCTCCGTGCTAGTGACACCCGCTACCGACGCGCGCCCTTCCTGCTGAGTTCCGCGCTGCGAACCCTCCTCCCATGTACATCACTCTCTACTTTCTCGTCACCCGTCTCCCTGAGTCCCTTCGTGTCGTTAGGGACCAGTTTCTCTCTGTCTGTCCCACCACTCTCACTGTCGACCTCCTTGAGGAGTCCCTGCTAGCGGCTGAGAAGAGTATTGTCGCTGTAGGGGCCTCTCGGGGTGACCCTCGCACCCCTATCTTTGAGGGGTGTGGTCCTTCCCCCCTGCTGCCCTCTGTCGCCTCTGCCGCTGCGGCCGACCTCACTGGTTTTGAGTCGGTCGGCGCGGCGTCTGCCCCCAGCGGCAGACGCCGCGCTGGCAAGGGCAGGGGGGCAAGGGAGCGGGTGGAGCTAGAGGGGGCGGTGGAGGAGGCGGTGGGGTGGCGGGGATGGGGGTGTCGGCGGTGGGGTGGTGGCGGAGTGGAGGTACTGGTGGCGGCGGTGGAGGCGGAGGGGCGGCGGAGGTGGTAGCGGAGGAGGCGGTGGGAGCGGTGGGAGCGACGGTCCTGGTGGGGGAGGTGGAGGTGGAGACGGGGGTGGCGGTGGAGGCGGGGGTGGCAGTGGAGGCGGGGGTCGGAGTGGCTCGTCCCAGCGGAGCAGCTCCGGGGGTGGTCAGCGCCAGCAGCAGCAGCAGCGCTCTCGCACCGTCCCCCGCCCCTCAGCAGCTCCGTGAGTGGTACTCGCAGCGTCAGCGTGGTGGTGCGCTTGGTCCTTGCCCCTACGTTCTCCGCACCGGTGACCGTGCAGGGGAGAGGTGTGGAGGCGCCCACACTGCCCGCCGCTGCTTTGGCCGCCTGACTGACGCCTGGCGTCAGCAGTTTCCGGAGGCAGCTGAGATCCCCCGCTGGGGAGAGCTGTCTAGGGCTGGTGTAGCTATTTATGATCTTGATTTTGATGCTATTCTCTCTGCTATGTATGCTGCGATTGGTAGTGATGAGGATGACTGTTACCGGTGTTTCCCGCCCGACCCGGGCATTGGTACTGCCGCGTCAGGTACTAGTGAGGCTGCTGCTCTAGGTGCCAGTGCGTCTGTGCTCTCAGGTGCTGGTGAGTCTGCCCTCTCAGGTACTGTGTCGGCTTCGGCCTCTCACACCTTCACCCTTGACTCTGGAGCGTCTCGCTCCTTCTTTCGGACCGCACCACTCTCACGCCGCTGAGTCGGCCGGTTGCGGTGTCCCTGGCTGACCCCTCTGGGGGGCCTGTCCTGTCTCGCTTCTCCACTGTCCTCCCGTGTCCGGCGGCCCCCTCTGGCACCCTGACTGGTCTCTACCTCCCCTCGTTCTCGACGAACTTGGTGAGTGGTGCTGACCTCCAGGATGCGGGTGTCCACCAGTTCACCCCTGCTCGTCAGCGGGTGACCCACTGCACGGAGGCGGATACAGGTCGCCACCTGGCTACGTTTACACGTCGGCCAGGGTCGAGCCTGTACACTCTGACCACTGCTTCTCCTCCAGGTGCTGAGTCTGGTAGGGTCACTTCGTCTGGTCAGGTGTTTGCTGCAGCGTCCAGGTCTGGTCCTGAGTCTGCCCCCTGCTCGTGCCGTCGTTTGTCTCACGAGACCCTCCTCTGGCACCACCGCCTTGGCCACCCCTCTCTGCTTCGGCTCAGAGGCATGGCCTCGCGAGTCCTTGTGTCTGGTCTTCCCCGTCTCTCTCCCTCCCCTTCCTCCGGCCCTGGCCCCACCTGTGTCCCCTGTGTCGAGGGGCGCCAGCGTGCTGCCCCTCACTCCTCCCAGTTTCCTCCGACAGAGGCCCCGTTGCAGACGCTTCACATGGATGTGTGGGGCCCAGCCCGCGTCCGTGGACAGGGTCAGGAGCGCTACTACTTCCTGCTGGTGGTTGACGACTACTCGCGTTACACCACAGTCTTCCCCTTGCGCAGCAAGGTGAGGTCACTGCGGTGTTGATCGACTGGATCCGCGCAGCTCGTCTCCAGCTTCGGAGGAGCTTTGGCTCTGACTTCCCTGTTTTGCGTCTGCACTCGGACAGAGGCGGAGAGTTCTCCTCTGGCCTCCTGAGTGCCTACTGTCGTGCGCGAGGCATCCGTCAGACCTTCACGCTTCCGGACTCACCGCAGCAGAATGGGATTGCTGAGCGCCGCATTGGCATGGTCATGGACGTCGCTCGTACGTCCATGATGCATGCGGCTGCTCCCCATTTTCTGTGGTTTTTTGCGGTCAGGTACGCTGCGCACCAGATCAACCTCCACCCCAGGGTCTCTCGACCGGAGACCTCCCCAGCCCTGCTGTGGACGGGGAAGGTTGGCGATGCGTCGGCGTTCCGGGTCTGGGGATCTCGGGCGTTTGTTCGCGACCTGTCTGCGGACAAGCTATCCCCTCGTGCTTCTCCCTGCGTCTTCCTGGGGTTCCCCCCCGACGCCCCTGGGTGGCAGTTTTACCACCCCACCTCTCGACGTGTTCTGTCCTCCCAGGACGTCACGTTCGACGAGTCGGTACCCTACTACCGCCTCTTCCCCTACCGCACTCCGTCCCTCCCCCCACCCCCGCTCTTCTTGGTACCAGGTCCCCCCCCGGTAGTCCCCCTCCCCCCTCAGGGTCCTGCCCCTTCAGGTGTGTCCCAGGTAGACGCGGTCGAGCCTGTCGAGGTCACTGGTGACTCTGGTGCTGCTGCGGGAGCTGAGCCTGGGGGTGCGGAGTCTGGGGGTGCTGAGCCTGGAGGTGCCGAGTCTGGGGTGCTGAGCCTGGGGGTGCTGAGCCTGGGGGTGCTGTGCCTGGGGGTGCTGAGTCTGGAGGTGCCGAGTCTGGGGGTGCTGTGCCTGGGGGTGCTGAGCCTGGGGTGCTGAGCCTGGGGTTGCTGAGCCTGGGGGTGCTGAGCCTGGGGGTGACGTGCCTGGGGGTGCTGTGTCTAGGGGTGCTGAGCCTGGAGGTGCTGTGCCTGGGGGTGCTTCGTCTCGCCGGGAGCCACTCTCCCCACAGGAGCTGCGTGAGTGGTTTGCCGGGCGCTGGAGGCGTGCTGCTGGTGCTGGTGGTTCTTCGGCTGCAGAGGGTACTGCTGCTGCGCGCGCCCGCCGGCGCTCGTACTGTGGGTGCTGGAGCTGCTGAGTCTGAGAGTTCTCCTGGAGCTGGTCCTGCTGAGGGTGTTGGTGCTGAGCCTGCCGTTGGCGGCCCGACTGACAGTGCTCCTGGTGCTGCGGCTGGAGGTTCTGGAGCTTCTGGTGGTGCTGCTGGAGGTGCTACTGGAGTGGGTGCTCCTGCCGGGGCTGCTGGTGCTGTTCCTGCTGTTTCTAGCGTCGCCGCGCGGCCCCGACCGTACTGTTCCGCTCCTGCAGCAGGTTCTTGGTCTTACACCTCCTCCTCCTCCCTTAGAGGGTCCGCAGCCTGTCCGGTCACAGCCACAGCTACAGCCTGCCTCCCCTTTGCCTGCTCCTTCTCCCTACGCTGGTCCGACTGGAGGTCTTACTGAGCGTCGTGAGCCTGCGTCTCGTCCTGTGTCGCCTGTTCGTACTGAGCGCGCTAGTGGTCGCGGGTCGCGTCAGCGTCCTCCTCCTGTCCCTGGCACGCACCGGATGTCACTGCGTCCGTCCACTGCTCCTCTGCGTGCCCCTTTGCCTTCTCCTCCTGCTTCCTCTCTTCCTGCTCTTGCCGACCCGGAGTCGGACGCCCTTCGTGCTGCCAGTCCTACTGTCACGCGTCTCCTGGCTACTGCTGTCACTGACCCCTTCCTTCGAGTCGTCTGCTGCGTCTGCCCTTGTCACTGAGCTTGTCGACTTTGCTGCGCGCTGTCGTCTAGACTACGCTGCTCGTCTTGTCACTGAGTCTGAGTCCGCCTGTCCTCCGTCCGTCGGGGGTGAGTGTGCCCTTGGCACGGACGTCCTTGAGGACAGGCAGGAGGATTTCCAGTGTCTGGCCGCCGCTTCACCTCGTCTCGCGTCTGTACTGCTAGCCCCTGAGGGAGACCCGGATGCACCAGACATCCCGACTCCGCGCTCTTACGCGGAGGCGATAGAGGGTCCCTACTCCTCTCAGTGGCAGGCAGCTATGGATGCAGAGATGGCTTCCTGGAAGTCCACAGGCACCTACGTTGACGCTGTTCCCCCTCCTGGGGCGAACATCGTCAGTGGCATGTGGATTTTCAGGGTGAAGCGGCCGCCGGGTTCTCCGCCTGTCTTCAAGGCGCGTTACGTGGCTCGTGGCTTCAGTCAGCGGCAGGGGGTTGACTACTTTCAGACCTTCTCCCCCACCCCGAAGATGACCACTCTTCGGGTTCTGCTACACGTTGCTGCTCACCGTGACTACGAGCTGCACTCTCTCGACTTCAGCACAGCTTTCTTGCAGGGCAGCCTGCACGAGGAGATCTGGCTGCGTCGCCCACCTGGCTTCACTGGGTCTTTCCCTCCTGGTACCCAGTGGAGTCTCCGGCGTCCAGTCTACGGTCTCCGCCAGGCGCCACGTGAGTGGCACGACACACTGAGGACTACGCTCGCGGCACTTGGGTTTGCTCCTTCCACTGCCGACCCGTCGCTGTTTCTCTGCGCACCGACACCTCTCTGCCGCCGTTCTACATCCTCGTGTACGTCGACGACTTGGTCTTTGCCACAGCTGACACTGCTGGACTCGCCTACGTGAAGTCCGAGCTGCAGAAGAGACACACGTGCACTGACCTGGGTGAACTGCGCAGCTACCTTGGCTTGCAGATCACCCGGGACAGAGCACGCCGCACCATTACCCTGACTCAGTCACACATGGTGCAGCAGGTCCTTCAGCGCTTCGGCTTCACGTACTCCTCGCCTCAGGCCACTCCTCTGCCTACTCGCCACTCGCTCTCAGCTCTGCCTTCGGATGAGTCCGTAGAGTCGAGTGGCCCGTTTGCAGAGCTTGTTGGCTGCCTCATGTACCTGATGACCTGCACACGACCTGACCTCGCATACCCTCTTAGCATTCTCGCACGCTTTGTTGCTCCTGGGAGACACCGACCAGAGCACATGGCTGCAGCGAAGAGGGTGTTGCGCTACTTGTGCAGTACGTCGGGCATGGGGCTAGTGCTTGGAGGGCGCAGTCCAGTGGTCCTCACTGGGCACGCAGACGCTTCTTGGGCTGACGACCAGGCTACGCAGCGGTCGTCACAGGGTTACACCTTCAGCCTTGGTTCCGGCTCTGTCTCGTGGCGGGCTACCCCGCTCGTCTTCTGTTCTCTCGCTCCAGTTGTGAGGCTGAGATCTACGCTGGGCTATGGCTGCACAGGAGTTACGCTGGCTCACCTACCTGCTGACCGACCTTGGAGAGCAGCCTCGTTCTCCTCCAGTCCTGTACGTAGACAACAAGGCCATGCTGGCCTTGTGTCGAGAGCAGCGACTGGAGCACAGAACGAAGCACATTGCTCTTCGTTACTTTCTTGCTCGTGAGCTACAGCAGCGTGGACAGCTGCGACTTGCGTACGTGGCCTCTGAGGCCAACACTGCTGATGTCTTCACCAAGGCACTTGCGCCTTGTGATCATCAGCGTTGCTGCACGCAGTTGGGTCTTGTGCCTGTCTTGCCTCACTTGCTCTCCTCTTGACCTTGCTTGTACTTTCGCATATATATACTCTTGTTCTTGTATATCTCTATATATGATCTTGCATGTGAACTGGCCTTGTGGCCTTTGAACTTGTGCTCGGAATGCGTGGTGACTTTGTGATCCACCCTGAGATTTGCTTTGCTTTGCTTGACTGGTCTTGTGACCCCTTGTTTCTCCCCCACTTTGCCTATGGGGGTGTGTCAGAACTTATAGCTTACTTGTTTCTGTAGGCTATAGTGGGGTATCCCATAGGGGTACAACCCAATTAGGGTTTCCTATTTGTACTCACTTCGTTCATAGTCATTCCATCCTCGTTCTTTGTTTCCACAAATAGTTGCGGAGGGGATAAGCTGCATCTCCAACCAGCTGGTACGGGGAAATGTCGCCTCGTTCTAGTCTTTCGTAGAGGCTAGATTTGATGAACACTCTCTGATCGTGTGCTCTGCCGGGATACCCGATGAGGTAATCCCAAATGATCCCTCTAGCATCGCATGTGATCTGCAATTGAACCGCGTACTGTGATTTGCGGGTGTAATATTCAGTCCGATGCCCTTCCTTCCCTCTGATTTGAATATGTGTGTCATCTATTGCACCCACTACTGCTGGAACACCCTTTATGCTCCTAAACTCTTCTGCCATCGTCCGCATCTCTTCTTGTGATGGAAATCGGACCCAGTCCGATTTAAAGACGCGCGGGAAGTTTGTGAGGAAAATGTCTACGAGTAAGTGGCATATCGTCTTCGGAACCCCAAACCAGAACGCGAGGTCAATGTACGACAGGGCGCTCGCGAAGTATTTGATCGGCACAAGTATGGCGATGCTAATCGGTAAGGAGTGTTTTTGTATGACCGGGTTTAGAACTGAGCGCATTCCTTCACTGATGTAGTCTAGAATGGATCGATTGATTCTGAACAAGTCCATGAAAACCTCCTCTGGCATCGCCTCCATTTCATCCACCCATATCCCTAGGCGTCGCCGCCTCAGACCTCGATTCCGTGCCCGGATCGCACTACGGATTCTCCGCTAGTTTCCTCATTTGCGGCCTGGTCTATCTGCTCGAGCAACTCAGTACAAGCTTTCGTAGCAAGCGCGAGGAAGGTGTTGTAATAAAAAGCATGCCACACAATTAAGAGTCTAGGGAGAAAAGGCACATCATTCATGGTGGCTGGAGGTAATTAATAACCCATTTAGCTGGTTCTCGATAGTTTATCATCAGTTGCAGCGGGAGGCGAGTCCGTTCCCGCTTGTTATGCTTTGGCTAGAGTAGATGGGACTGGTGCTGCATGAATGCTTACGTGGTGGTGGTGATGGTTTAGTCTGGAACTAGACGGGCGTGTCCTTGCGCACATTTACAGGGTGGGTCGCATGGTGCCACATCAACGCTCATTTACAGTCGCGCAACAGCTCAAACCGGCAAGTACACCGGACAAGAGTTTTTGGCGAACTTGCAAATTACATGCGAGAATTGCTAGGCTGATATGAGGCAGCTCTGATAGGGTGCCGTAGGAACACGCCCTTATAAGTAATGTTACATCTATAACGCGAGGGCGAGGTCTGCTTTGGACCCTTGTAATATGTTCGTCAGCCCTTACAAAGAGTGAATGCTTTTGACACACTGATATTTTAGAGGACTGTATGGTAGAATTTTTGTCTAAGAACCTTACGGAGTCACAATAGGTACCTCCAAAGAATAGAAAATAGACATCACGTATTCCTAATCATCAAATATGAATGTACGAAGTGCTTAAATTCAAGTGGTGAGGTGATGCTAATATGGACGAACAACATCAACACCTAATAATCTCTATTGGCTCCTGCCTGCTGCAAGATCCCGGCAGTGGAATAGGAGACGTCACACGAGTAGGTAGGGAGACGCTGGATTGGACTAGAAAGGCTATGCAATTGCTGCCATGAAGCCAGGAATGTTGCCACCACCAAAATACCATGAATCAAGCGGTCCGATGGCCAATGACACAAACAGCCGATGGAGCATCAATGGGGCAATGCAGGAGGACAGACAGAGTCGGGCAGGCGGGTGGCAGTACGAGGGTTGCGAGAACTGAGTGACTTCAGGAGCAAAGGCAGAAGCTGCCATGAACCCTTGGTGATGGAAGATGGTGACATGGAGCTGGCGGATGGAATGGGCGGGTGGCAAAGCATGAGGGATAATGGAGGCGCATCAGGCAGACAGACCAGCTGCCAGGGCGCTTCCTCCTCTCCTCCGTCCCCTCAGCGGTGAAGAAGGCTGTTAGGGAGAATGTGGGGCTGTAGGTCACCTGGAGGGATGTATGTGATGCGGCATGGTGGACAGTGGATGGAGGGTGGTAGGTGGGAGATTCTGGCTGTCGTTATAACAGTTATTGCAAGTCGCATGGCATGCCCTGCTTGCCCCCTGCCCCCTCTAGTGGTGAAGTATGTGAAAGAAAACGGGATGCTGCAGGGTTACCAGTGAGGATATGAGATGGGAGATGGTGGATGGAACGGGTAGGAGGCGTAGCATGAGAGACAATGGTTGCAAACAAACTGCCAGGCCCTGTCCGCTCCCTCCCCCTCCCCTCCCCTGGTGAAGGACGCCTCTGATGAGGAATTGATCTGGTAACAACGTAACAGTTACTATGGGAAACTTGTTAGCTGTACGAATGACATGGACCAAGCATCTCACCTAATCTCACATTCAGAAATGGTCCAAAAGTACCTTCTGAGTCCACTCACAACCCCATAATCAGCAACGGATAAAAAACACAGAATGGAAAGAATCAGGTGAACAACAGAAGGCACGAGTAACAAGAGCACCAGGAATGCGTGTCTAACCGCTATGGAATGGTGACTCACCGCCATGGGATGGGTGTCTAACCGCCATGGAATGGGTGTCTAACCAGGCACAAGCAACAAGAGCACCAGCACCACCATGCTGACTAACTACCATAGGATGGGTGTTTAACCGCCATGGGATGGGTGACTCACCGCCATGGGATGGGTGACTCACCTCCATGGGATGGGTGACTCACCGCCATGGGATGGGTGACTCCCCGCCATGGGATGGGTGACTCACCGCCATGGGATGGTGACTCACCACCATGGGATGGGTGACTCACCACCATGGGATGGCTGACTCACCACCATGGGATGGCTGACTCACCGCCATGGGATGGGTGACTCACCGCCATGGGATGGCTGACTCACCGCCATGGGATGGGTGTCTCACTGCCATGAAATGGGGACACAACCGCCATGGGATGGCTGGCTGACTCACCGCCATGGGATGGCTGACTCACCGCCATGGGATGGCTGACTCACCGCCATGGGAGTGGCTGACTCACCGCCATGGGATGGTTGACTCGCCGCCATGGGATGGCTGACTCACCGCCATGGGATGGGTGACTCATCTCCATGGCAGAGCCTGGACAGCAAAGATGGTGAGAGCAGCTCCCTTAGCCACATGAGCGCCCCCAGGTCAACAAAGGGGTATGCCTGAAGTCCTTGTCAGGCGTGACAGCACTGAAAGTGGCAGTCGCAGCAAGAGACTGATGGCGTGATACCGGAGGCTGTGACTCAAAAGCATCCCGACTTTCAGTGTGCCTACCAGTTTTCAAGGTCCTTGCTCCTGCTACTTCTCTGAGTCTTCCCCTTCCCTCTCTACTCCTCATCGTATTGCCGCTTTCTCTCATGCCGCAGCAGCAGCAGATTCTTGTGATAGGGTTCGCAAATAATGGAGATATGGAGAAAACCAGATGGGACAGATGTGTCCCTAGCATTTGGCCGGCTAAACGGGGCACATCAGCAGCAGCAGCAGCACCACCACCACCAGCTTCACCAGTAAGAGAAGCAGAGGGCACAGCAGCAGTGGCTAGCAAAAAGCAGCAAGCACTGGATTTCCACACTTCCCAAACAGCAACCACCAGATTTTCCACTTCCCAAACGGTCTTCGACCCAAACCAGTAGCACAGAACATCGATCTGAGGCTCGTCAGACCCTCTAGAGGGTTTGGGGTTTACCACCGGGTTCAGCACTAGGCCTAGCACTCTGCACCTCCCTTCCCTGCTGTATGCTTTAAGACTCGCCTCACAACTAGCACCAGCAGCCGCTCCACTCATGCAAGCACTCGCTAAAGCAGCAGCTGCTTTACCA